CTACATTACTCGAACGCGGCGACCTGACAATTCCCACTCAAAATCATGATAGAGGGACAATTATATGATAAACAATTCAGTGCGCACGCATTCTAAGATATCCTAAGATGCCTCGACTGACAAAACGGGCAAAAAAAGTACCTGACGCCACTTTTTGGCATTTGCCAGGGACTTTTTTGCAGCGCGCTGTTTCCAAAATCGCATTCTAAGTTTCAGTGTGTCGCTATCTATATATATATATATAAGGAACTACTCGTACTTAGAATATGCCGAAATTCAATCCTGCCCCCTCCAAGGAAAAAAAAGGTACATAGAATATATTTTATTTTTAGAAGATTTTAGAAGATCCATTTTAGAAGATCCAATCCTGACAAATTCAGCTCCACCAAAAACCCTGGGCTCCCACCATGGATCACCATGGTTTTTTCCACTGCAATCGCGAACTTAGTTCAACTTCTTCAGTTTCTTTTTACAATCTAAACATATTTCGTAGGCATTCATGTCGGTTCCCGCCGTTTTGCCGCGACAATCTCGAAAGAAATGCAACTGATGCAGGTGGCAGGGAATGTGTCATTAAATCTGCCAAATTCCTATGTTTTTCAATCAAAATTGACATTTTTTGACATTGACCGTGAAAGCCATGAAAACCAGGGGAAGGTTCATCCATTTTTGAGGAACGCCACCTAATTCCATTGGTTTTCGTTGCAAAGCAGTTTTTTGTTCATTGTTCTGCGACACCGGTCGTGGGGGTAACCTTAGGTGAGCTTGAAAAACTCATTTTTTTGAATACAATTCATCCTTTTTTTTGAGGAACACCACCTAATTCCATTGGTTTTCATTGCAAAGTAGGTTTTTCTCATTGTTCTACGGCACCGGTCGTGGGGGTACCCTTCGGTGAGCTTAAAAAAATCATTTGTTTAATACAATATGAAAAACAAATAATCATTTCAGGGGACATCAGAAACTATATTTTTTGACACCAACCGTGAAAGACCATGAAAACCAAGGGAAGGTTCATCCATTTTTTGCGGAATACAACCTAATTCCATTGGTTTTCATTGCAAATTTTTTTTTTTTTATCATAGTTCTACGACACCAGTCGTGGGGGTAACCTTAGGTGAGCTTGAAAAACTCATTTTTTTAAATACAATATAAAAAGAAATTGATCATTTCAGGGGACCTTTTTTCATGAAATTTTCTCCAGTTTAGGAACTTCAGACATCCAGGGTCGCTACTCCCCAAAGGGAATTGATCTATGCCCTTGTACATGGAAGAGACCCAATTCCTTGCAGAACCACATACATAGAATATAAGTCTCAAGGGGAAGATTCACTTTTTTTTAATAGGAACACCACCCTTTTCCATTGGTTTTCATTGCAAAGTAGTTTTTTTTCATTGTTCTGCGGCACCGGTCGTGGGGGTAACCTTAGGTGAGCTTGAAAAACTTTTTTTTAACAAAACAAAAAGAAATTTATCATTTCGGGTGACCTGGTGCTTTTTTAATGTTCCAGTTCAGGAACTTCAGACATCCAGGGTCGCTACTCCCCAAAAGGAATTGATCTATACCCTTATACATGGAAGAGACCCAATTCCTTGCAGAACTACATACATAGAATATAAGTCTCAAGGGGAAGATTCACTTTTTTTATAGGAACACCACCCAATTCCATTGGTTTTCATTGCAAAGTAGGTTTTTTTCATTGTTCTACGGCACCGGTCGTAGGGGTAACCTTAGATGAGCTTGAAAAACTCATTTTTTGAATACAATACAAAAATAAATTTATCATTTCGGGTGACCTGGTGTTTAATGTTCCAGTCCAGGAACTTCAGACATCCAGGGTCGCTACTCCCCAAAGGGAATTGATCTATACCGTCTATACCCTTATACATGGAAGAGATCCAATTCCTTGCAGAACTACATACATAGAATATAAGTCTCAAGGGGAAGATTCACCTTTTTTTGTATAGGAACACCACCCAATTCCATTGGTTTTCATTGCAAAGTAGTTTTTTTTCATTGTTCTACGACACCGGTCGTGGAGGTAACCTTAGGTGAGCTTGAAAAACTCATTTTTTTAATACAATATAGAAAGAAATTTATCATTTCAGGGGACCTTTTTTTCCTGAAATGTTCTCCAGTTTAGGAACTTCAGACATCCAGGTTGCTACTCCCCAAAGCGAATTTATCTATACCCTTATACATGGAAGAGACTCAATTCCTTGCAGAACTACATACATAGAATATAAGTCTCAAGGGGAAGATTCACCATCTTTTTGAGGAACACCACCTAATTCCATTGGTTTTCATTGCAAAGCTGTTTTTTTTCATTGTTCTACGACACCGGTCGTGGGGGTAACCTTAGGTGAGCTTGAAAAGCTCATTTTTTTAAATACAATATCGATCATTTCATGGGGACCTTTTTTTCCTGAATGTTCTCCAGTTTAGACTTTCAGACATCCAGGTTGCTACTCCCCAAAGGGAATTGATCTATACCGTCTATACCCTTATACATGGAAGAGACCCAATTCCTTGCAGAACTACATACATAGAATATAAGTCTCAAGGGGAAGATTCACTTTTTCTTTATAGGAACACCACCCAATTCCATTGGTTTTCATTGCAAAGTAGTTTTTTTTCATTGTTCTACGGCACCGGTCGTGGGGGTAACCTTAGATGAGCTTGAAAAACTCATTTTTTTGCATACAATATAAAAAGAAATTTATCATTTCGGGTGACCTGGTGTTTTTTTAAATGTTCCAGTTCAGGAACTTCAGACATCCAGGGTCGCTACTCCCCAAAAGGAATTGATCTATACCCTTATACATGGAAGAGACCCAATTCCTTGCAGAACTACATACATAGAATATAAGTCTCAAGGGGAAGATTCACTTTTTTTTATAGGAACACCACCCAATTCCATTGGTTTTCATTGCAAAGTAGGTTTTTTTCATTGTTCTACGGCACCGGTCGTAGGGGTAACCTTAGATGAGCTTGAAAAACTCATTTTTTTGAATACAATACAAAAAGAAATTGATCATTTCGGGGGACATCGGAAGCTATATTTTTTGACACCAACCGTGAAAGACCATGAAAACCAGGAGAATGTTCATCAATTTTTTCAAGGTAGAGTAGTTTTTTTACCATAGTTCTACGACACCCGTCGTGGGGGGGGAACCCTTAGGTGAGCTTCAAAAACTCATTTTTTTAATACAATATAAAAAGAAATTGATCATTTCGGGGGACCTGTTTTTTTTGTTGAAACGTTTTAGGAACTTCAGACATCCAGGGTTGCTGCTCCCCAAAGGGAATTACGTATATAATATATACCCTTATACATGAAAGGGACCCAGTTCCTTGCAGAATTACATACATAGAATATACGTCCCCAGTGAACATATTCATCCATTTTTCCAGGAACACCACCCAATTCCGTTGGCGTTCATTGCAACATATTATTTTTTCATAGTTCTACGACACCGGTCGTGGGGGGCCCCCTTCGTTGAGCCTCAGAAACTCATTTTTTTAATACAATATAAAAAGAAATTGATCATTTCGGGGGACCTGTTTTTTTTGTTGAAACGTTTTAGGAACTTCAGACATCCAGGGTTGCTGCTCCCCAAAGGGAATTATGTATATAATATATAATTACCATTATACATGACAAGGACCCAATTCCTTGCAGAATTGCATACATATAATATAGGTCCCCAGTGAAAATATTCATCCATTTTTCCAGGAACACCACCCATTTCCGTTGGTGTTCATTGCAAAATAGTTTTTGTCATAGTTCTACGACACCAGTTGTGGGGGGTACCCTTCAGTGAGCTTGAAAAAATATTTTTTTTTTAAACATTATAAAAGGAAATTGGTCATTTCGGGGGACCTGTTTTTTGTTGAAACGTTCTAGTTGAGGAATTTCAGACATCCAGGGTTGCTGCTCCCCAAAGGGAATTATGTATATAAAATATATACCCTTTTACATGAAAGAGACCCAATAACTTCCAGTACGGATGATATTTTTATAATTCAAAATATTTTAGTGGGCTGAAAGTTTGAAACATGTCCCTTTATGTCCATTTATGCTGCAGTATGGGTGATATTTTGATAATTCAAAAGATTTTAGTGGGATGAAATTTTGACAAATGTCCATTTATGTCCATTTATGCTGCAGTATGGGTGATATTTTGATAATTCAAAAGATTTTAAGAAAAGTGGGATGAAATTTTGACATACCATTTATGCAATTCCATTTATTGGCTGCAGTTGGTGATATTCTTATAATTCAAAATATTTTAGTGGGATGAAAGTTTGACAAATGTCCATTTATGTCCATTTATGCTGCAGTATGGGTGATATTTTGATAATTCAAAAGATTTTAGTGGGATGAAATTTTGACAAATGTCCATTTATGTCCATTTATGCTGCAGTATGGGTGATATTTTGATAATTCAAAAGATTTTAGTGGTATGAAATTTTGACAAATGTCCATTTAATGTCCATTTATGCTGCAGTATGGGTGATATTTTGATAAGTCAAAAGATTTTAGTGGGATGAAAATTTGAAAACTCTCCATTTATGTCCATTTATGCTGCAGTATGGGTGAAATTTTGATAATTCAAACAAATCAAAAAAACATCTTCCAGAATTGAAAAAATATTCTATGTACACCTCTGGGATATTCTATGTATACGTTTTTTTTTCAATTCCTGAAGATGCCCTAAAACGTTTTTTTTTTCAATTCTATATTCTATGTACTAGTAGTTTCTTATATATATATGTATGTTCTGGGAAGAGCTCTCCAGAATTACCAGCCAATATCAGCCAATGGGTTGTGTGGCAGTTTGGTTTGGAATTCAGATGCGATTCCGAATAGTGCTAATTTCAGGAAGCCAAAGCAGCAACCATTTTTTTTGTATCACGACTTTGTGTTGCAAATCTCTTCTGGCCTATTTCTTGACCAACAGTTTATCCCGAAACATGAAAAGTGGTGCGGTAAAAACACTGCAAGCAAAACCACGGCCCACTTCGAATCCAAATTGGGGTCCATCTCCTTTGCTTGGGGCTATTCCACACGGCCCTGGCACCAGCATGGAATCATTCGAACTTCTAGCTTTGCGCGGCCTTTTTTAGACTACAAACGATGTTTGGAAATCTTTCGCTGGAGAGGGTCACATGATTTTGACATGTTTTTAATATTTATGCATTGCATTTCTGGGAACAATTGCGAATCCATTGGGCAAATCTATCCTATCTATCTCGCCATCTCTCTCTCTATCTATCTATCTATCTGTCTATCTGTCTATCTGTCTATCTGTCTATCTGTCTATCTGTCTATCTGTCTATCTGTCTATCTGTCTATCTGTCTATCTGTCTATCTGTCTATCTGTCTATCTATCTATCTATCTACCTATCTATCTATCTATCTATCTATCTATGAATACACACACAGACATATATATATATATATATATATTCTATATATACATACGCCCCCCCCCGGCAAGCAAACATGGCAATGAACACTCACACACCCATTTAGTTCAATAATTTTCACATCTAAATGCCCATGCAAATTCAGGGATCTCCCAGCGGCCCGCCATGTTCGATTGCTGGAAGGTGTCCTCATGAAATATCCCCATGATTCTTTAAATAATCATCATTAAATCTTCAGGTACGTTTAGGGGTATATTGGCTTTCCAGGATGGTAGAGGAAGAGTAGGTAAAATGTGGTTAAATTATATCCATTAACCCAAAACTTGCTAGCAATTTACCACCCAAGAGTGGCTATCAGCCATAGCTTGGAGCTGCCAGGCTGCACGAGGTCATGCTGTCCGCCCCGCGGAATTGGAGCAGCGATGCATCTTCGAAAGCATCACCTTGGGCCCGGCTGGGGCTGGGGCTGGGATGCACCCAGCCTCACTGCCAGAACAGCTACCCAAAAACCAGTGGAAGCAGTGGAACCTAGCACAGTGGGCGAGAAGAACTTCAATAAGTGTCTTTATTGGTTAGTTCTTAAAATACATATATCATATATATATATATGATATATGTCTATATATAAATATGCACATATCGAGCTAGTTAATGGGGATGTATTGGGGTAACAAAATTCTAATTCTAATTGGTAACAAAAGACAAAAGGAAATCCCAACTATTTTATAGTGGTTAATTAGAATCTGTTCTATCTTTTCGTAAGTTAGTATGGTAGTGGATTTATTCAGGCGGTGAGCAATTTAGGAGATTAATTCTTGGGGGCCTGTATCATTCGCTTGTAACATGCCACCACAGAAAGATTCCCGTGAGTTTAAAGCGTCGGAACCACAACTATATGTAACTATTTTTCTTTACAGCCCGTGGATGAAGGAAGATTGATGAAAATTGAAACCATGTATTTCCCCACCTGCCAGGTGAGGGTTGTTAGATTTTATCACAGTTGTTCTCCTCCTCCTCCAACTCCTCCGCCTCCTCTTCCTCCTCTCCTCCTCGTCCTCCTCCTCCTCCTCCAGTTTCTCTTCCACCTCCGCCTTGCCAACTCTTCGCCAACTTCCGCACGCAGTGGGCACTGCTGGACCTCAACTGCCGGCGTGCGATCGGAGTGGGCACCGCTGGACCTCAACCTGGGACCTGCCGAGCTCAGTGGGACCTTCCGAGCTCAGTGAGCACCGCTGGACCTCAACCTGGGACCTTCCGAGCTCAGTGAGCACCGCTGGACCTCAACGGTCAGATAGAATGCCAGAAGATATGCCAGATAGAACGCCAGATAGCATGTCAGATAGAATGCCAGAAGATATGCCAGATAAAATGCCAGATAGAATGCCAGAAGATGTGCCAGATAGAATGGCAGAAGGTATGCCAGATAAAGTGCCAGAATGTTTGTCAGATAGAATGCCAGAAGATTTGCCAGATAAAATGCCAGAAGATATGCCAGCTAGAATGCCAAAAGATATGCCAGATAGAATGCCAGAAGGTATGCCAGATAGAATGTCAGAAAATATGCCAGAATGTATGCCAAATAAAGTGCCAGAATGTTTGCCAGATAGAATGCCAGAAGATTTACCAGATAAAATGCCAGAAGATATGCCAGATAGAATGCCAGAATGCCAGAAGGTATGCCAGATAGAATATCAGAAGATATGCCAGATAGAATGCCAGAAGGTTTGCCACACAAAATGCCAGAAGATATGCCAGAAGATATGCCAGATAGAATGCCAGAAGGTATGCCAGATAGAATGTCAGATAGACTGCCAGAAGTCCAAAAGGTATGCCAGATAAAGTGCCAGAATGTTTGGCAGATAGAATGCCAGAAGATTTGCCAGATAGAATGCCAGATAGGATGTCAGAAGATATGTCAGAAGATATGCCAGAAGATATGCCAGATAGAATGCCAAATAATGCCAGAAGATATGCCAGAAGATATGCCAGAACAAATGCCAGAAGATATGCCAGGTAGAATGCCAGAAGATATGCCAAATAGAATGCCAGATCGAATGCCAGAAGATATATCAGATAGAATGCCAGAAGATTTGCCAGTAACAAAACGTATAAATGTCATGGTGGGGATCACTCAAAGCAAAATATTTTTTTCTCCACAGCACCACAGCCATTGGTTTTTGAGGCTACGCCCAGAAACCAAAACAAAACAAACACATGTTCCTCCTGGCATCGACACCCATCCAAAACATTCCAAGCCCCGATATCAAAAACTGACTGAGCAAATGAAAGCTGGCTCAGCTCACGCCAGTGAAAAGAAGTCGGGCATGCCTGCCAATTGCATCCGATTGCTGGGTAGAACCCTCTCAAACATCAGGCCCCAGGGAGGCCCACGCAATCTTATCTTGCACGAAGCTGCACAGTTTGCTAGATGTCCAGTCGGGTTTGCTAGGAAAGTTCCAAGTGCTTCACTTGATTCACCACCCAAAAAAAATGAACCCTATCCTACAATATGATGGTTACAATGGCAAATGCTTCGCTCATATTCGGCATATTTCAATGATCTTTGGCGCCAGTCAGGGCCCTAAAATGAGTTTTGCTGGCTTCAGAAGCATCGTGGAACAATCCCTGACGCCACAACGGACTTGACACAGCGCCTGTTGAGGGTCTCTGAGCGACAAACTGCTCTCGTTGCGCTTTTCCACGACGAGGCAATGCGCACGTCCGATGAAACGACCTCTCTACAGCTGTTGCATGGTCCAAATTCGATGAAAGTGAAGTGAAAATGTCTGAGTTTGGATTTAACCCGCCAACAATTGGGTTTATGCAGAAAAAAAGGGTGTGCACCAACATATATAGGGTTTCCCAGCACAATTGGCTATACCATACACCAAACAAACAGCTTGACCATGCTTGACCCCGAGAATAACCGATTTTCAGGGGAAAGTAATCTTCTCAACCCTTTATATAGTTTTATATACGGGGTCTATGTTAACTCGATGCATTGGTACACATCACAAAACACAGTAGCCCATTGAAAGGCCATGGCTAGATAGCACAACGTGGGCTACTGTGTTTTAATGTGGGCTACTTGCGCAATTTCCCAAATCCAGCCACCATAAAGTGACTAGCGTCAACCCACCAACCCAGTATGAAATTGGTGATTGGGTTGAACTCCAGCTTTCTAGGCAATTTCAACCCAAAAGGATGGCAGGTGCTGGCTCAATCACCAATTTCATGGGTTGAGGCCAGACATTTAATAGTGGCGGCACTTGGAAATCATACAAGTCGCCCACACTATTCCAAAATGGCCCATTGGAAGGCCAGGACTGGCATTTGGAGGCATTGGAAGCAAAATCAACCAAAGCAAAAGGATTGCAGATGCTGGCTCCATCACCAATTTCATGGTGGGTTGAAAGGTTGAGGCCAACCTTTTTTGCGGGGGCAGCACTTGGAAATCATACAAGTAGCCCCCACGCTATTCCAAAATGGCCCATTGAAAGGCCAGAGTTGGCATTGGGCGGCATTGGGAACAAAATGAAAAAATGCAAAGAGATGGTTTGCCCATCTTCCCTGGGCATGTCTTCACATGGCAGAGGGCCGCTCCTTTTCGGAGGTTGTGCCCCCACCCGAGGCATCGTTGATCAAATGATTAATGGCTGCGGATAAGAACAACCTGGATCATGGCTGCACTGCAAAAACCTGAGCAAATCTCCACAGATTTCAGCTACAACCTTAAAATCAATATAAAATGGGGTGAGTGACCCCCCGAAATATGGCATGCCTTGACCCCCCTCATTTTATACAGGATATGTTCATGGGTATCTTAAATCTATATGTTTGATGTGCACATGCAAAATGCTTGATGTGCAAATGCATGCTTTTGATGGTTACAGTCACTCCACACTTTTTCACGGATAAACATGAACAAATCATATAAAGTAAATCCCAGTTTTTTCACGTCGATTTAGTTCGAGGCTTGCCCCGCTAGTCATGGCCATCTTCGACGCCGGGCAGCTGCAAAGGAAGGTCGTACCGGGATCCGCCGAGCAATTTCCTGGGGGCGACCGGGGCGACCGAGCGGATGAGCCCAGGTACAATGCCCCGCTAACTGGCTACAATGCTTGCGTTTTACCAAAGTGCAATGGGAATATCATCAGATTTGTTGATGCATATTGCATATAATTTAATATCATATAATACAGTTTAAAACGAACTTTACTGTAAACTGAATAACTTCAAGGTATACTTAAAGCTGGGTTTGCCACAGTTCGCTAGCTAAGTGGGCGACAATAACTCCAATAACTGTTTGGTGATACGATATACCAAGCTGAAGGTAATATGGGTTTTTAATTGTAGCCAACAATGTACAGAACTTGAGGGGCGCCACCTTCTATCTGATGTCTATGGTATCTATCATTTCAATGATATTCAATGATTGTCCGGCGACCCTGCCCCCCTAGGCGCTTCCCTGTCATGTTTCCAAGTTGGCTTGCAGCACACCAGGAGTTACAGGCTAGGGTTGAAGCCTTCGAGGATTCCAGCAGACTTAGGGTTTCACCCCTTTCCTCAGATTCGTACGGTGGAGCAGAATTGCACATAATCATAATCATGAAGATAGAACGGGCGCGCATGTCAGAATATCCAGCTTCTCCTGTTTCACGGTTTTGACGACCACATTTAATCTGGTTGGTGGTATACCTACCCCTTCGTCAGTTGGGATGATTATTCCCAATATTTCCCAATATATTAATATATGGAAAAATCATGTTCCAAACCACCAATCAATAATTATTTGATCACTAGTCCATTCTGTTCTGGACTTGCCAAATTTCGTGGAAACCTTCGCCACCCATGGATCCAAACAAAAGTTACGTGGACATACGTGGGTTAATTGGACAAATCAGGACATGAAACAACAAACGAACAGCCAAAAATTGCTTAAAAAGATGATCAAGCGACTCCCAAATCATAATATGTTTTACTCCCAAATCATAATATATATGTAAAACATGATATAATATTTTTACAGTGTAGATTGGTCGCTCCGCCCACCGAATTCCTGCATCCAGTCACCGGGCGAGCATGACGCAAGCATCCTTTCAAAGATAGGGGCAGGAGTGAAGAGGATAGGCTGGGGTAGATGGCTCAAATGGGTTTGTCCAAAAGGGGGATGTCCCAAAATTGCCAGTCTCAGAAAAACATCATGATCAAACAAACAGCCCTAATCTGATGGAAGCAATGCCGATGCATGCTGATGCAAGGTAAATTCACCTGGCCTTTCGAGGGTTGCCTTATCAAACGGGCCAAGCGAATTAGAGAAATAATGAGCCTTGACAACAGAACAAGGAGCAAACGAAACCCTGGACCAATGCAATACTCAGGGTCTGGAATAATTTGGAACATGTCCTCTGGGAACACGGGCCCTGATTGCCGCGCATGGTTCACCAGAAGTTTCAGTCTGAGTCGACATGGCTAGCCTTACTGCACAAACATCATGGGATCCAATGTTCCTCCAGCAGTATGGTCCAAAAAAATGGCCCATGCCATTTGTAGAATCTGCTAGTCGCCAGTTGCACTCCCAACTTCACCAGTTTACCCAGCATTGGCGCAACCCTCAGATGCCTTCTGGCGACCATAGTGCAGCAGAAGCATCCTTGGCGAAACATGGCTGGAGAGCCACCCGGGCGCAACAAAGGGCGAACGTATCCCTTCTCGCGAAAAAAGGGTTCCTAGAAACTGTGGCTAAATTCATAGGTTTGGCCCACTAAATTTGGCACTTGTTGGCATACAACTTTTTGTGCCAGTCTTCAGCCAATAACCACACTGACGTGGAAACTGGACCATCTCTTGGAGGAGGTGCGCAGAAAAGTTGCTCTGTGTAAAGTCTGTTTGTAGAAATGTATCTGTGTAAAAAATATTTCGCCACACCAACATCTCCAAAGAAACATAAAAGAACAAAATTCAAGCAAACATGTTGACTGTCGTTACTGTTGTTGATGATGGCGGTGATGCGCGCAGGGCCCCCAAAGGCGTCAGTTTGGCTGTGTTTAGCAATTTTTTGAAGGCCTTCGGGATAAATCACACTGTAAATATCGATGATTTTGGCGCCTCGCAAGCCAACAGAAAATGGAATTTACGAAGTCTTTTGCCCTTTTAGATGTATTTACACTGTTTTTTGGCCAGCAGCACCTAGCCAAAACACTAATGTTTACCTAGTTTTTTAATCATGTTGCAAGAAGTAATTGATCCATGCACAAGTCACAAACCCGGTTCGTGGGCGTCTTAAAATGAGAAGCAACCTCCTGAATAATCAGGCAGGGCTGGCCACCATCCACTGGAGCTACCTTTGTGGTTGGACAAAATCCCAAAAGAATCTGGTTAGTCAGTAAGCAAACCTGGCGGGATTGCCAAGTGTCTGGGTGAATTTCCACTTGCCACAGCCTTATGCCACATCGGTTGCTGCATTTGGCTTGCAAAGTATGGACACCTGTAATTAGATGAGTCTATGTGTAGTATAGTGTACATCGTGCGAACGTGATGTCCACAGGGTTTCCATCTGTTGATGTTGGAAGCAATTTGGCTACGGGTAAATACTGGGCTGAACCATGAGCTGAACCCCTCAATCCGATTTCCATGGTTTGCAATTCTGGGGGCGTCGTGTAACAAAGCCACATGTAGCCTGAATAATGTTTGCAGTTTCCACGATTGAAATACAAACAAGCAACGGCGAAATTAAGAGCCCAACATCTTTGATCATCTTTGGACATTGATAGACTCACATTGCCTCTGAATCATTGTCCGGACCACTTTTCACCGATGATTTTCTCAACGTCTAAGTGACGTTGCTGGCTACCCATCAAAACAGCCACAGTGAATCCCATCCAGTGCCCACGTTGCACCTCGTCCCTGGCCGCAGCGATTTGCCCGCGGGCGGCTCCGGCCAAGGTCTGTACAAAGTGCCCTTGCGGGTCAAGGTCAAGGGCCATGCCTCGGTTCAAACTGCACCCGAGGATTGCGGGGATTTAGATATACCGGTTGGGTTTTTCACTGCATTCTGCAACCACTGACGCTGCAGCGTCCTGCTCTCTAAAAAACCATATTTGATATTTACATATACTGTATATCTTGAACCAAATTTTGCCGGGTTGTACAAAAAAAACAGACAGACAGACAGACAGACAGACAAACAAACAGACAAACAGACAGACAGACAGCTAGTTAAACAGGGAGGGAGGTAGGTAGGTAGGTAGATACATTTGATATCATCTGACCCAGTGTGTTGGTTGGCCCCTGGCTGCAGCTGGCAAATCTGCGGCGGCAAAAAAACATGATTGGCTGATTGGTCACCCATTTTCAGATGCCAAGCCACGCTGTCGGTGCCAATTCCTCAGCAGATGCGGCAGTAGAATCCACCAGCCAGAAATGAGCTACAATAAAACAATCCAATGGCCCAAGCGTGATTCTTTTCACCAAACCACTGATTTCTGGTTGATGGTTTGAAGCATCTTGAACTCTGAACGCTATCTGTCAAGTGACAAGTGCCATCACATTTGAATTTCAATGAAAACAATCTACATGTCGACGGTCATGCCATGACATCTATTTCTGCCTTCTCATGCCATCGCCATCACATCCAAATTGTCGAAAGAACATCTTAGAAGAAAATAATGTTTACCAGTAGTACCGCACAAGGCGGCGGCGGAAGTTTCAAAAATAGGAAACCTATAGGAGAGGTTGGTTGTTGTGAATCAGAGATGGCAGGGCGAAGCCACTGATGGACTGAAAGGTGCTTGATCTCTCTCACTCTTTCTATCTCTTTCTCTGACTATCTACCTACCTACCTACCTACCTATTTTCTATGTATCTATCTATCTATCTATCGATCTATCTATCTATCTCTCTCTCTCTTTCATCTAATTACCCAATCTATCTATCTATCTATCTAGCTAGCTAGCTAGCTAGCTATCTATGTATCTATCTATCTATCTATCTATCTCTCTCTCTCTCTCTCTTTCATCTGTCTATCTGTCTAGCTGTCTACCTGTCTATCTATCTATCTATCGATCTATCTATTTCTCTATTTCTCTATCTATCTATCTATCTATCTATCTATCTATCTATCTATCTATCTCTCTCTCTATTTATCTATCTATCTGTCTATCTATCTATCTATCTATGTATCTATCTATCTCTTCATGTATCGATCTATCTATCTATCTGTCTGTCTGTCTGTCTGTCTGTCCGTCTATCTGTCTAGCCATCTATCTATCTATCTCATCTACCCAGCTGGCCTCTCTCTCTCTCTCTATCCCTCTCTCTCATCTAATTACCTATCTATCTATCTACCTACCTGTCTATCGATCTCTCCCTTTCATCTGTCTATCTGTCTACCTGTCTATCTGTGTTGCAGTGTCATTCAGTGTAATGTAGTGTGGTGTAGAGTAATTTAGTGTAGTGGAGTGTACTGGAGTGTAATGTAGTGTAATGTAGTGTACTGGAGTGTAGTGTAGTGTAATGTCCTGTAGTGCAGTGTCTTGAAGCGAAGCCACATCTGAACCTCCAAAAGGAATGGTGTGTTTTGTACATTTTGACTTCAAAATGTGCTTCGCGCCACAACGGCGTGCACTTTTTCAACATCTCGACTTCCAAAAGTGGTCCGAACCCCTGGTGTTTTGCACATTTTGACTTGGAAATGTGCTTCGCGCCACAACGGCGTGCACTTTTTTGACATCTCAACTTCCAAAAGTGGTCCGAGACCGCCAGTTTTTAACACTTTTGACTTCGAAATGTGCTTCGCACCACAACGGCGTGCAATTTTTCATCGCTCCTGTGGCCAGTTGGCTCCGCACCCGCCGCTTTAGCGAGCCTACTGTTCGACCCTCCGGAGCCACAAATCATGGGAAAAACAGAGTGTTTCGCGACTTTCCTACCTTTTCGCGCATCTGTATCTTCTGTCTTCTTACTCTTTCTGTTCTGATCTTCTCTCTTCTAATCTTCCTCTTCTCTCTGCCTCTGCCCTGCTCTGCTTTTCATCTCTCCATATTGTCGGAAGTTTGACTTCTAAACTTCCTTCGAGTAAAAAAACGTCTATGGATATTGAATATATATATATATGCAGCTTGAGTATTGTACAAGAATTCACTGTATAAGAATTTGAGGGGCTCGATTCCAAGACAGGCTATATATTTTCAGCTATACCAAACACATAGTACGTTAAGAATTTGAGGGACCTTGGAATAGGACTGCCAAATTCTTAAATTACTGCTTGTACGTGAAATTTGAAATTCCCCTTTCTGCGTCTCTTTTTTTTAAAGTGTGACCCCTTGAACTGGGAACTTCGAAATTAGGCGGATACATGGCGGATACAAAACTAATCCGTAATCCTCCGAATCCTGGTTCTTTCACTAATCCGTTGCAATGCGTCATCCGGTGCTCTTATGTATGCCCACACAAGCAGCAACCCAGCCACCAAAGCAACTAGCACCCCAGGCACCAGCAGAGAGCAATAAAAATCTCTGATATTAAAACAAATGCCAAGGCGTGACTTGCTACACTGACCGTGTGAT